GCACCATGCAATATTTGTCCTTTTGCGACTGAGATATTTCACTCACCCATTTTGAATAATATTGCATGAATTCCTTGTTTTTCAGTGCAGCGTAGTATTCCATTGTGTGAATATACCACAGTTTCTCTATCCATTCGTTTGTTGATGGGCACCTGGGTTATTTCCAACTCCTTGCTATTGTGAACAGAGCTGCAATAAACATGGGTGTGCATATATCTGCTTGGATGTCAGTTATGGTCTCTTTGGGATATATTCCCAGTAGTGGAATTGCTGGGTCAAATGGTATCTCTATTTGCAACTTTTTTTTTTTTTTTTTGCAACTTTTTGAGAAAGCGCCATAGCGCCTTCCACAGTGGTTGCACCATTTTACACTCCCACCAACAGTGAATAAGGGTTCCAGTTTCTCCACAACCTCGACAGCATTTGTTGCTTGCTGTTCTGTTAAATTTTGCTATTCTGACTGGGGTGAGATGATATCTCACAGTTGTTTGAAATTAGAACTTCTCTTATTTTATTGGTGAGTGTACATATTTGGAAGCAGGAGTGGCATCCACTTGTTAAGCAACATGCCTCTGGAAACTCTATGAACTTTGATAAATGATGATCATAGGATCACTGTGAGTCGTGCTGACTTGATGGCAGTCAACAACAACATTATACACATATGATCCTAGATCGGCAAGAAACAGAAGCAACTTCTTTGTTAGGTGGGAAAATTTAGGGACAGAGAAAGTGACTCTTCCCTCCTCCCAGGCTTATTTAACACATACTTGACAGTGTTTAGAATAGAATCTAATTCTACTTGAGCCATCAAGTTGATTTCCTACTGGACTTCTGCAGATTGATTTTGTCTAGTCATAACTTCTTTTGTTCCTGTCAACTGGGAGGTAGGTACTTGAGCTATTATTATTCTAGCTCACTGATTTGAAATTCATCTCACACCCCCTCTCCCCACAGCAAAATATTCAGCATTCACATAGGCCAAGACTGGGAAGGAGAAATCTTTCTTCAAACGATCCCACTGTACTTTGGGAGTCCAGTTACTACAGAAATCTGACAAGTAGACTTTTAAATTATGTTATTGTTATGTACTGTTGAGTTGGAATCAACTTCAGAGGTTTTCAGAAGCAATAAAATCACATGGGAGACAATTGCCCATCTTTCTCCTGTGGAGCGACTGGTGGTTTTGAACCTCGTGGCTTTGGAATGGCAGCACTGCTCCTTACCACGAGACCACAAGAACTCAATTAAAAAAAAAAAAAAAAAAAACTTCCTTTCCTTAAGTTAGTGGATGTTATTTAACAACACTAAGAGTCCCCTTTTCATTGAGTGTAGAGTCTAAGGGGTGTTTAGTCCCCTGTCCTGGGATCTATAGGACTCTTATGTCAGAGGATACGCTGTTGGGGACAGAACCATCTTTCACAGCTGTTCAGCTCAGGGCACAGACTTTTCTCCGGGGAGGAGCATAGCTCTTGGCTGAAACTTGTCAGGAAAAGATACTTGGTTTGAAGAGTTGATGACAATTCAGTTTCTGCTCCACCAGGCTCCTAAGTGGAGAACACTCCTGTAAGATGTAACCAGCTGAAACAAATGTACCACAACGCACACATCCAAGTGAGCGATGTCTCGAGGAGTGTTGTTGCTTCAAGGGGCTGCACACATGCTCCGTTGATATTCTCATTACTTAAAATGTTGTGGTAAACAACCTCTAGGAATTTCCATCAGAACCACTTTTTCAACCAAGTGAAGAAAATGTTTTTGAGACTCTTTTCTCTGTGTCACTGTTTTGGGATACCAAATGACATTCCCAAACATGCCCATCAACTATTATTATTATTATTATTATTATTATTATTATTATTATTATTATTATTACTTATAATCCTAGATAACATCCAGCAATTTCCAAAAGTCACCTTTACCATTGGAAGTAACTAAGAGAACTTTACTCATGTTGAAGATATTAAAAGGACAGTTCTCTAAATGTAGGTCTTTTGGGGTGACCCTGTGGGTAGCCCTGTGTGCCTTTTCTTTCTGAGAGCCATTGGTGATTTATCTGAGACTGCCGGATAATAGCCAATGTGTTGCTTGAGTTGGGAATGTCTCTGCCCTTGGGAAGCCCTTGATCTGATGGTAAAGACATGTTTTTCTTTGTAGCCATAATATATTCCCCTTTCTGGAGCAAATTTAGTTTGGACTTAGGTCTCTTTGAAAGTTGACTTTCTCTGCTGTGGTGAGTGAAGTTTCTCTTGTCTCCATGGATTTTTATTTTTTTTTCCTTCCTCTTAATGTCTCTCAGTGATGTCCACTGTTGGGGTTACAACTAATCCTTCTCCAGCCATAATCAGTTCACAGCTGGCTCTGTAGGTGGCCATGGTACCCTTCTTTCCCACCCACTGAAGCCTGCAAAACAGTCATCTTTCTGCACTATTATTGTTTGTGTTAAGATCCCTTGCTAGTTAGTCTTCCAGAAGTTAGTGTTGGGAGGAGAGATGGTCCTTGAAAACAGTAGAGATGGTTGAAGTTAGAGCTCAAGATTGTAAGCTGCCCAAGTGGCAGAAGTAGCCACCTGTCTTGGAATTTCTGGGCCAGCCCCAAATCCCAATAGTCTCTTGTCTTACAGGGTGAGGGGAGAATAGTGTACCTAGTGGATGGAATAGGATGTACATACTACCAATACGCACCGCTGTCAGTTGGATTCTGACAGTGGAACTGTCTACGAGGGTTTCCAAGGTTCGAGGTCTTTATGGAAGGAAATTGCCTCGTCTTTTTCCTCCAGAGGAGGCGAGGGGTTCAAACTGCTGTCCTTTCAGCTGGTGTCCCAGTGCTTCTCCATGTGCCACAAGGGTTCCTTGGAATGTGATGCGGTCCCTTAAAATTCTGTGAATGAGTTTAGAATAAGAGACTGGTGGTGCCATCTGTGCTAATTTTTAACAATGGAAACGCAAGATTGTAGACCCAATAAATGATGATAATTAAATAAAAACTTTCTTTTTTTCTAGCTTTTTAGTGCTAAAAAGCACTCATTGGCCCCTCCTTCCCCTACCAAAAAAAGGGGGAAAGCCAGATATTTAAAAACAAATGAAAATAAACTTACCAACTGTTAAAATTGTTTTCCTTTTGATAGCAGCATTATGGGTAAGGGTTTTTTCCTCTCATTTCAGCATTTCCCCCCTTATATTATTTCTTAAATATTATAGCTTAAATGGAAGAGGATAAATCTCTAAACAAATTCTTATTGTATCACATCCGAATTTTATTTTAGAGAGAACATCCACCATAGCAGGCATCTTGACAATTTTTATTCCTTCTCTCGACCTCTGGAGATCTTGACAGTCTGGCAAGGCCAGGTTCCAGGAAGATGTTTTGGACATGCTTCTGCCTGGAGGCAGGGGGTGGACAATGCAGCTGCTCAGATCCCCGTCCCACCCCCAGCTGGTGGTTATGTATCTCCTGTACACAGCCTTTGCCAGCAGTCGGCGGCGGGCTGAGCGTGGTGACATTCTCCGAGTGGGGAGCAGTAACAAAAGTCTGGCTGGGATGGAGGCCGGGGGCGGGGAATCTGGAGTGAGTGCCTGTGCTGATAAGGAGCCACTGAGCTTTCTGCCTGGTAGGACTCGCACCTCTAGCCACAAGCACCCAGCCGTGCTCAGCCCCCTGGAGATTTGGTGCCCACTACCGTGGTCCTGCTGCTGGCACAGCCCAGAGGGCATGGTGCTCCTGGCTACTTCTGCAAAGAGCTTTTGAAGGGTGCAGAGTGGCTGTACTCCATCTTGGGTCCCAGAAAGGCTCATTCATCCTCTGAACAGCCGTGACTTCTGAAGGAAGCAGCATATCTCCAAGGTGGAAACTAGAATCCCCCTATAGCACCACTCTGAAAAAGGAGCCTGATCAAAGGACAGCAAGATTGCTTCCTCTTCAGCCTGGATTCTCCACCTGCATCTCCTGAAGGTCCTTGCTGAGGCCTAAGAATCAGATTCACTCTGTTCTTCAAGCAGAGGACCTCAGTTTGCTCAGCTTACTGCAATTTGTCTGATCTCCAATTGCCTGGATCCTGTTGCCCATCAGAATAGTGGACAGTGACCCAGCTCCAGAAACTAGGATTTCTGCTTTGAGGAAGACTTCTTAAGTCCAGAGTTGGCAGGGCCTAGGAATCAGGCATCAAGCTTTCAAGGATATGTATTGAATTTGTGTGGAGGTATTTACTGCTGCTGCTGCTGCTGCTTCAAAAGGCTTTGGTGCGAACGCTGGGACTCTCTGGAGGCAGGTGAGAGTCCTGTCTCCTGAGCGTGATACTGGATGTCCCCAGAGTGCTGATCCCTACAAAGGTGGGCTGCTTCTCAGTGGAAGCACCATGTCACTGGCCTGCTGATAGGGCTGCCCCCAGGGGATCTTCTTGGGGCCCAAGGCACGCTTCCTGACCGGCCTCTCTCCAGGCATGGCATAAGGGGTTAATATCCTCAGTGGCTCTATTTTGGGGCAAATAGAGTGTTCCTAGAATAGGCTGCTTTGTTGAGTAGTCTATTTTGGGAGGCAAGCCCCATTGGCGTTTATGTAAGTGATTCTCTGTGTGTATATGGGGGTGTGGATATGTGCGCAAGTGATTTCTGTTACTAATTATAAACTGCTTCTTTTGGGAACCCGGGAAATGGAGGTATATATGTGTAAGGGGTGTCGATTGCCTTTGGTATGAGTGTATTTATGTGTTCAACTGGGCAGTCCCCACAAACACCGAGTATGGGGATCTGAGGACAACAGGAGGAGGTGGGAGTCTGGCCGTGAAGATGTGCCCATCTCTGAACCTTGTGACTCCTTGCAGTGTGTGGGCAACCTGGGTTGTGGCCCTTGGTTGCAGTCTGGAGTTGAGTGGATTTCAGAAGATCAGACTCTGGTTTCTCTAGGGCCCAGCAACCAGTTCTAATCTGGAGCAAATCTCACCCTTCACTTCTCACTCCGAAGGTTGGCACTTACTCCTTGGATTTTCTTGTATCTCCTCACAGGCCAAATCCACATATGTCGAATCAAGAGAGAAACCAAAGACCGTCCAGCATGGTCAGCGAAACGTCCACAGCTGGAACCACTTCCACTTTAGAGGCCAGGCCTGGACCAAAGGTGAGCTCCTGACCACTCGTTCTTTCCTTCTCCACTTTTGTATTGGGCCTGGCCCCTTTGTGACCAGAGCTTATTTGATCATCGCAGTAGTTGAATGAGGGAGGCACATAAGAAGTGTTCTTCCCAAATAACAGGTCAGTAATGACGGACAGGCTGAGAGGGGTCTTATCATTTGCCCAGGGAAACAGGTGATTGTGGATAGAGCCAGGACTGACATGTAGATGTTCTGAGATCAAGATAGGACCCCTTAGAAGGAATATCTGGAGATTAGGGAAATTGGTGACCAAGATGTAGATATGCCTCTAGAAGGGCAAAGATATATTTGAAACCACAGCTACTGGTGAAAGTTAATAGAAGGATTCCTTTAAATGTTTCCTTCAGTGACCCAGATGGGAAGCTTGGTGGCTCTTGATCTTGATTGTTAACTGGGGCCATGAGCAGGCCTGCTCCCCGTCACCTTGCTGCTCTTCTGATCAAAGGGCGCTGCTGCTCAGAGTGAAGCTGAGAGCCCACCACTGTTCTCTCAGAAGTACTGCTTTTGGTTCTCCCCTAACCCGCTGCTGCTGACAGAATCCATGCCTGCTTTTCTCCTAGATTCTAAAGTCCAGCAATAAAGTGCACAGCTTTGGGAAGAGGGACCAGGCCATTCGGAGGAACCCCAATGTTCCAGTGGTGGTGAGGGGCTGGCTGCACAAACAGGTGAGGACATTGAGGTGCAAAGGTGGTGGGGAGATTGTTCTTTCTGACTTTCCTTATCCTGACCCAAGTGGGCCCTGGGAATTGTCACCTAGTTCTGTTCCTGAGTTTGAAGTAGGTAGGTTCTGCTCACTGCTGAGGAATTGTCTTTTCATTTTTCTCAGTGCACTGTCTGCTCCGTAGTGTATAGGTCACAGGGAGTTGCACTGCTTAATCCAAAGGTGGCGCCTCTTTGGTGATTTGAGTGCATCAAGCTGCTCTATGGGAGAAATTTGGACCGTCTCTTCCTGTGCAGTTCTCAGCCTCTGAAAAGCCTCTGGAGGGTCTGCTATGAGTTGGTTCTGACTTGATGGCATTAAGTGAGTGGGTGCTCTGCTCCAGCTACAGTTTCCTCCCAAATCTACTTGACTACCTTGCCGCCCAGTGCATGTGGTGGATCAGCATGAATCCAGTCTTACTGCCACAGCTGTGCCAACACGTGTCTTGTTGATGATGTTAAGAGCCTTTGTTGACATTTAGCTAAAAAAATGACATTTCCAACCACATATTGACTCAGATTCCACATCAGGAAAATCTAACTCATCGTTGCATTACTCCTTACCTCTCTCCTTTCTCCAACCTGCTTTAACTGGGTCTTGGTCAATGAGACCACTGTTCTCTTATTCAGTTTAGACTTCCCAGAACTGTCACAGCTCTTTCACCTCCCACATCCATTCATTCAATAGGTCCAGTTAGCTGTGTCTCCCTGAGGCCATTGTTCTGCACCAATAGCTGAACTATCTGGTTCTCTGAAAGTGTAGGTTGTGGGCTCTCAGCCCCAGAGACTACGTCTCTTTCATTTCCTCCTTCCCTCCTTGGTATTCATTCACTCACACGTCAAATATTCATCAAGTATCTGCCATGTTCCAAGTGTTCACACTTCAGGCATAAAGAGATGAATGAAACATGATTCTGCTTCTCAAGGAACTATCCTCAGGAACTCTCCTAAGAAACAGATTGATGTACTAACATCTCTAATCACCTCGCCCAGTCTCCTTTATAATTATATATCCTACCATTATCACCCCATCTATTCACACACACACACACACACACTCAACAAAAACAAAAAAGAACAGGTCTTCAAACTTGTTCATTCTGGTTCTACTACTGCTGAGAATTTCCACTTCTACTGTAGATATACTGACTCAGAATCTGCATTTTAACAAGTTTCTCAGGTGATACATAAGCATCATATTTTGGACCTTTAAAAGTCATCTGAGGATCTTGTTAAAATGTAGGCTCTAATTCCTTATACCTGGAGTGGAAATGCAAATTCTTAACAGGAGGTCAAAGCAGAATGAACTGGTTCAAAGCCTTGTGCGAGACACAAGCCAGACTCCTAGAGTAATGACAAATGATGTCAATTTTCCTAAAGTCTTTGTGGAAGGCAGGAGAGGATAATTGCATTACATATCAAACAGAAAGATCTCTACAAGTCCCTTTGAAATCTCTCTCCTCCACTTCTACTCCTGTCTCAACTCTCACAGCTCTCCAGCCTCTTCTGCCAGTTACTCCTTTAGTACCACCCTCTGTTGCATACCCCCTCTCCCCTCACAGTTCTGACCTCCCTCTGCTTCCTCTGAAGTCTGCTTGTCTCTTTTCTTACTTGTGAGAGTTTAGTCATCTGACTTCCTAGGTTTGTGTCCCCATGCCTCGGTTAAGCAAAGGCTACTCCTTTGTAATATGTGAAGGAGAGGGAAAGAATTGCAAATACTTATGAATTTTTTCTCCCCAGTTCCTACAGTGATGCAGAGGTTTAAAAAATTCCAAGGGGTAAAGATGAGGCAGTGTGATTTACTGATGACGCTGTAAAGATTTGTAGCTTTGGAGACCCTGTGGCCAGTTCTTCTCTGTCCTACAAGGTTGCTATAAGTCTGAATTGATTCCCTGGAAGTGGTTTAGCTCAACTATACTGTATACTGTGCTAGAATAGTAGTCTGTCTAGAATGCTAGAGACACAGCAGGGAAAGTTTAACTATGCCTTGGGGAGTCCAGAAAGGCTTCTCAGAGAAAGTGACGTGTGAACCAGCTATGGAAGGACGGTTAAAATTTTTCCAAGCAAAACAAATGTATACTAAGACCTTAACTATTATTTGGTAACTTTAAAGAAGGTAAAAGCAATAACTGCATGAATTCTCCAAATTAAATTTGCTTTTGGCAGTTTATAAGTGGAACATGAACAAGCTTCATGTTGAGGTGGTTTTTAGTTTTGTTTTAAACTTAAATCTGTTATAACTTCTGCAGAAAGGAAGACAATACAATTCAACTGCCATTTCTAAAATGAAAAAGTACACTTTTTCTAGCTTTGGGAGAAAACGGCCATAAAAGTAGCTATTTTTCTACTATGGCTTAGTTTTATTTTAGTTTTTCATTTTCCCAGTGATCTAACAATATTTTCAGTAAATAAAAAGATTTGCATTTCAGATGAGTAAAGATAGATTCTTCTTAATGGGGTAGTTTTTAGCAGGAGAATCCAAATCTGTGCATTCAATGGAAAGAAAACAAAAGCAAAATCAGTCCTTTTTGGTAGAGAGCTTAGTCAAATGAGAGCTTTACCTCAGCTGATTACCTAACTCAGACACTTTTTTCAATACTATGTAAATTTAATTTTCTAATGAGCATAAGTGAGGATATTTTTATAACATAGCATCGAAATGAAAGAAAAAAGTTCATTTTGTTAAAAAAATAAATATTCTCTTAATGGGAGACCTATACGTCTGAATTATCATTTTCCTTTCTAAAAGAAGGAGACTTATGATCTGTTTCCAGGAGACAAAAAGCAAACAAAAATTTCTACTTCTGGGGATGAATATTTATTGAATCTAAATTTTAATGTCCTATTCAAAGAACAGTTATTCAATAAAATATTCATTTATTTAGTGTAAGAAAGAGTGAATATGAATAAAACTTGGTTCCAGAATTGGTTCTATGTGATGGGGGCAGTGGCTGTGTGCTTGAATATTGCTCTGATCAGTTTTCTTTGCTTTGCAGGATAGCTCTGGGATGAGGCTTTGGAAAAGGAGGTGGTTTGTGCTGGCTGATTACTGCTTGTTTTACTATAAAGGTGAGCTGAGGCTTGGAGCAGCAGGAGCTCTTGGTGCTAGGATGGGGAAGCTGGTTGGTGGGTGATTCAGATCTTGGTAGGGGGCTCTGGTGATGGAGCCCTAAGGGAGTTGTGCTGCTAACCAAGGGCCTTACCTCTCTCCAGTTCAAAAGACGAGCAGTTTACAGCCCTGGAAAACCAGTGATTGATTCCAACTCTATGGCTATGAGCTTGAATTTTTCGTTTTTTTTTTCCAAAGCCAGTGATTTTACCAGTGGCCTGAGCTAATTAGCACTCTTGTTTGAAGAAGTGGTTACTTTTACCTATCATATGAATGTTTGGAGATGTCAGTTTTATCACTTCTGCATTGGACATTTGATCTGTAGAATCTGATTTGCCTGCTGCTTATCTCAAGATCTAGACTCATCCTCACTTCTGCTCCAGATGAGGCACAGGTACACTTTTGAGGCTCTCTGGAGAGGTGAGAAGTATGAGTAAATCATTATATTTGTAACCCATCATCTCAAGTTATCCTCTGTGATATTGGTTGGAAAATTGCTCTGTGATTATGGAGCACTAATCAGTTAAATCAGTCTTGTACAATGGTAAGACTCAAAATATGAAGGAAGAAATAATTTGCTTTTAAGACAAAAGTAGGCTATGGTAGACTGGTCTTTAAAAAGATATCCAAAGTACTTAGATCAGGGAAGTTAACTTTCTATTGGAGAATCTGGAAAGGCTTCTTGGATGAGATAGTGTCTGAGCTGAGCTTTTAAGGATGGGGAGGGCACTGGCCTGTGTTAGGGAAGAATGGTATTATAAACAAATTGAGTAAAGGGCTAGAAGCAGGAAACAGATTGAGTAAAGGTCTAGAAGCAGGGGAAGGTAGCTCCTTAGAGCCCACAGTGAGTCATACACTGAGAATGTACTAGGAGTTAATGCTCAGGAAGTTGGTAAGGGAGTGGCAACAAGCCAATAGAAGCTGGGTCTCCTGCATCCAATGGGGAATCAGTAAGTGATCTGAGCCAGAAGAACAGGACCAACTCTGCCCTTGGGAAATTACAGTTGGTAATGAAAGTAATTTGTAAGAAGAAAGGAATAAAAGTAGAATCTAAAAATTTTCACATACGCTATAACTTACAAGGTTTGCTTCACTCAAAGAAAAAAAAAGTCTTTCCCCATCTTTAGAGCACAGTTTAAGCATCAACCTTGCTGTTTTCTTAACTTCCCAGACTTTGCATCACTGTGTCTCCACTGCACTGGGTACATTGCTCTGTTTGGGGATTTAGCAGGTCTAGCCACAAATGTCAACAGAGCTAAAGACTGGGTCTGAGTCACCTTTGTAGTTCCAGCATTAGCCCACAGGTCCCCAGGGAGCATCTGAATGAGTTACCAGTTAAGCAGTGTTTGCAGCTGTCCTGGGAAGAAGATAGGGAGCCCTGAACTAGGGCAGTGTGGTAGACCAGCCCCTGAAAGGTGCTACATACAGAAGGTTGTTCTGATGTGTTTTTCCATTCAAAGACAGCCGAGAAGAAGTGGTCCTCGGGAGCATCCCTCTGCCCAGCTATGTGGTTTCACCCGTGGCCCCTGAGGATCGCATAAGCCGCAAGTATTCCTTTAAGGTACGCTCCTTCTCTGGAATGGTTGTTTCTGTAGGGTGCAGAAGACGTTAAGAATCTAAAGCATTTCAGACTCATAATAATAAAGTTAAAAATTGGTTAAACAATAATAAAATCACTGCTACTTTTGTTTGTAGCTGAGGTTTTGACTCTGCTAAACTTGCTTAGGTGTTTAAACTCCTCTGTTGATATTGCTGCTAGGTTTTGTGATTATCTCACTGTTTCCGCCCACTTCCTTTTGTTTTCTTAATTAATACCTTAATGAGCCAATCCACTAATAACCAGAGCAAATAATATTGTTAGCGAGCTTCATGTTGACAAGATTGTCAGATTTGTTAAACTTCTTTTTTCAAGGTCTCCATGTGAAATGTTACTGATTGACTCGTAGTGTTGGATAATGATGTAGAGCAGTTTTCAAGTTAGCAGATGATCTTGTCTGGCAGGTTCGTTTTTGATGGACACTTTTCCTGAGAAATTAAAAAGCGATTCAGTTAGGCCCTTTCCCAAATGAGCTCCAACCTCGGGTTACTTCTGCTGTGTTATTTCTAGATTGTGTACTTTCTTCTCTTGTGAGATATATGGCTTTGTTTTAGAGTTCTTTGTATTTCTGTTTCTTTTTTAAAAAACTTTTTATAAGTTTATTTTTTATGCAGATTTTCTCCCCATACTTTCCTTCACTGACATTATGTTTCATACAATCATTGTGTTTTATAACATTAATCACCATTGGTCTTTGCCCACCATTACGCTGTCTTTTCAGGTCCCTGCCACGTGTTTCCCATTTACTCTACCCCCTCCCTCTACCCACCAAGTTATGTGACCCTGTGATTTACCCTCCTACCTATCCTCACTCCTCTGCTTCCACCACTTTCTCCCTTTGGCCCCCATTCACATTTTATTAGTTATCCTTTTATTTTTACTATAATGGTCTTTGTCCTTATGAGTCTGAGTTAGTTCACTTAGCATAATGCTCTTCTTCAGTCTCTCCCAAGTTATGCAGTATTTTAAAAAATCATTGATTCTCAGTGCTGCGTAGTATTCCATCATGTGAATGTACCACAATTTTTCATTTGATTATGATTGGACATTTGGGCTGTTACCGTGTTCTTGCGATGGTGAATAATGCTGCTATGAACACTGGTGTATGAATCTTCCTTTGTGTCTCAGTTCCGATTTCCTTGGGATATATTCCTAGCAGTGGAATAGCTGGCTCGTACGGAGTTTCAGCTTTTTGGGGAAATGCCAAACTACTTTCCAGTATGTTGTACCATTCTACAATCCCACCAACAATGTATGAGAATTCCTCTCTCCACATCCTCTCCAGCTTTTATTGTTTGCTTTCCTTTAACATTTCTTTTGGAAAAGCAGTTTGAGTCAAATTTGTTATACTTTTTGGATCATTTAAGATTCCTGAGGAAGTCTTTGAACCACTAACATTCCTTATCTGCTTGATTACTTTACCATTCAAAATAAGTGGGGATGTGATAATTGATGGCAGTCCAATGATGTCTTCTGACGTCTGAGAAACCATGTATTATTCTGTCCAGCTATGTACATGCCATGGACTGCCAAGAAAACAAGTAAGTTTGTCTTGGAGAGGGTGAAACCAAGTTTCTCCTTTGGAGGCTAGGATTTTGAAGCTTCATCTTACATACTTTGGGCACGTTGCCAGGAGAGACCTGTCCTTGGAGAAGGACATCATGCTTGGATGGGTGGAGGGACAGCGCAGGAGAGGAAGACTCAGGATGAGATGAATTGATACAGTGACTGGGGTAATAGGAGTTGGTGTGTCAGAACTAGTGAGATTGGCCCAGGACAGGGCAGGATTCAGAGCTACTGTACTTTGGGTCACTCTGAGTCATAGGTGACTTGATGGCACATAACAACAACAACATGTAGCCTCACCTGTGGACCCAGAAGATCACGTAAACACGCTGCAGGAAGTTGATGATTAGGACTAAACTTGGAAATCCCAAGGCCAACTCTACTGATGACCTCCACGGATTAGTAATAGTGTGTTGGATTGAAGATCCACTTTGCTAGCAGTTGGGAATAGAAGTCCCAGAAAGCACTGAAGCAAGTGGTCCTTGATATTTGTAGCCACAGGGAAATAGTCTGTCATAGTATTCAAGGAATGAGAAAACAAATTGATTTCAGACTGAGGTGAGACACTTTCCCACTTCCCATGTTGGTTTTGGCTGTTCCTGTTGTGGTGGTGGTGGTTGTTTACTGTCAGGTTGGATCCAACCCAAAGCTGACCCACCAGTGGGTTTTCAGAGGCAGTTAATCGCATGGGAGGAGATTGTCCATCCTTCTCCTGTAGAGCGGCTGGTGGCCTTGAACCACTTGCCTTCGACATTGCAGCGCAGTTTCTTGCCACTAGGCCACCAGAGCTCCCTGACCCTATGGTAGAGGTGCAAAGGTACAAATCAATAATAAACAGTAGGTACTAAAGCACAGGTTGAACAGAAATCAAGTTTCCAGCCATAGATGAAGGGCTGTTGGAGATGCATAGCATAAGAAATAACCTTTCTCTGTAATGGCTAAAGGAAGATATCCTCCCAAGACTTCGATGGCTTTAGCTGTTGGACTTAGACTGTGAAAGACTTTTAGAAAGCAATTGTCTACATCAGCATTGTGGTCTTCAGGCCATGGCAGTTGGAAAGTCAAGCTCACCTTGCTTCTACTTCTCCTTTGTGTGGTAGCGCAGAACTGATCAGATACTTCAAGTAATTAGATAGGCTCAAGCCATTCTCTCTCTTTCCCTCAAACTTTACTAACCCCAGTATCGTCAGAGTTGCTGTGAGTTAGAGATTCTGGAGACACATGCACACCCACTCTCTCACACTCACACCCCACACCAGTATTATTTTCTTACATTTGGCAATCCATTCATGACTTGGGAAGAACTTGTATGCATGTTACCTCATATAATCCTTTTTGGGAAACCTGTGAGGTCAGTATTATAGTTGCTGTTGTTAGGTGCCTCTGAGTCAGCTGTGACTCACAGCAACCCTGTGAATGTGGCTCATGCCTTGGCCCTCCTGCACCGTCCTCAGGGTCTCTGCTGCGCTCAAGTCCACTGTTGCAATCCTTGTGTCACTCTGTCTTTTGACGGTCCTCCTCTCTTGCTGACCCTCTACTTCTCCAAACATGACATCTTTTTTACCCCCTGAGATTATGGATTCAGGAAACTTGTCCAAAGTCACAATCCTGGTAAAAGTGACAAAATGTGGCCCTGAATTTTGCCCTCTGTCAGGTCTTGACAGGGAAGGATGACAACTGTTTTCTCATTTCTCTCTACCTTTACTTCCATGTCTTATTTTGATTACCTCCTGAGCACATATTGTAAGAGTTAGGAGAGGATTACAATGAATCATTATTATTATCATGTAAAGAATTTTCTTTTATTCTCTTCTATTCAGAAGCCTGGCCTGCCTTTATTGACTCTAAAAAAGAAAAAAAAAACCCCAAAACAAAAAACCAACAAACAAAAGATCACTTCCACACAATATTATATACCTTGTTGTTGTTGTTATATCGTCGAGTCGTTTGCGACTCATAGCGACCCTATGTACAACAGCCCTAAACTCTGCTCTGTCCTGTGCCAATCGCACTGTCTCTGACACACCTATCCTGATTACCCCAGTCACTGAATCAATCCCTCCACCCTACCAAGCATGATGTCCCTTTCCAAGGACTGGTCCCTCCTTACAACATGTCCAAAGTATGTTAGACGGAGCCTCAGAATCCTTGCCTCTAAGG